GGCACCTTGTGTCATCCAGGACACAGCAAAACCCCAAGGGACATCTCATGGGGTTTCCTTGTTTTTGCGTTTGTTTGTTTTTTCTCCAGATTCCCGGTCCCGGTGCAACAGGACAGGCTGTCCGGTGACCCCGGTCCCTGCCGAGGTCCTTGGCAGCGCCAGGATTTGCCATGTTAAAATGTGCTGCGCGCGGGGCTGCCGGGGAGCCAGGCCCGGCGTGAGCAATGTGCAGGGCGGCGCTGTTAAAGGGTAACCAGCTGCCGGGCACGGCTTTTAAAAGATAATGACAGAAGGACCCCGGGGGGAAAGATTTACTTCATGGAAAGTTCGCCCTGGCAGAGCACAAGCGCTCAATAAAAAAGTAGCAGCAACGTCCAAATGGCAAGTGTTAAGGGATGTACTGGTATCTGCCATGGCTTTAGGAGAGATCTATGTGGGCCATGAGGGCCGAAGCGAGGGAAGGGATGCGGCCTGCTCCTCGGGTTGTGTTTTCCCCAGCTCTGTTGGGTTTCTTCTGGGGGACAGAAAAATTTCCCTGTCCTTGACTGGGCGCTCGCTTTGGAAAAGGCCAAAAGCTGGGATTTTGCAGAGGCTTTCCCGCTTCCCTTTTTACAGTGCGCCAAAAACATTTACGTAAGCGCCTCTTCTTTAGGCCCTAATCGGTGGCATTAAAATTCCTCACAGCGGGAATGCGCCCCGCACCAGAGCCGCGGCCGAGGGCTGGAAGCGCACACGGGGAGTAAGCCGGTTTATTCTGGGAATTAATTTCCTCCCTGGCACCTCGGCTTTGTTAACGGCCCCTTTGTTTGCCCGTTAGGTAACTTCCTACACGGAGCAGTGCTGGTCCCTCCTGGGAGCCAGCCCCGCTGCCCCTCCAGGGCAGCTCTGCTCCAGGTGGCAAAACCCTCATTTTGCCAAGGGTTTTTGTTCTGCTTTGCAGCACCCGGAGCTGTTGCAGATGTGACAACCACCTCGGAAAAGGCAGCTTCACCTGCGGGGACTTTGTGCCCCTGCAGCCCTGCTCTCCTTGCTCTGCTCGGCCCCGTGGCAGTCAGGGCTCTGCAGAGCTCGGGGCTCCCAGCTGGGAGGGCTGCGCCGCTCCCGCTGGCTCTGCTCTCCCGCCGCGGAGCTGCCAGCGGCTCCCCGCGGCCTCCCCAGCCCTGCGCCTGTCACCGCAAGCTTTTAAGCTCACCAAAACAATGTTTTGTCAGGGCAGCTTTTGCAGACTCCGGAAAGCCACTAAGTACTTTTTTTTTTTTCCCCTCTCCTGAGGGCTTTGCAAGGTAACAGGAAAGCAAAGCCGACCCTTGAGTCCAGAATTTCAGAAACAGCTCCTGTTCACCTACCTTTTCTTTTAATTTAATCATTTTTGGTTGGCAATCATTTCTGGCTATATTCAGAGTGTTCATACCATCTTTGCTAATAATGCCCCATAAGGAGAATATAGTAGAAGATACAATGCAAAAAAACCCCAAGTGTTTGACTTTCTGGATGTCTGCCAAGACAAAACTGTCATGTTTTGTGGACTGCAGTGTCCTGCCGATGGCTGCATGCGGAAACATTGCCGTTGTAGGCTTTGTGCTAGAGCCCAGGATCAGACCTGAAGGTTTTACCCTCAGAAGCACCTGCATGGAGATATCCCTATAAACAGAGCACCTCTCACTATCGCTCCTGCTCTCCAGAATGCCTGAAAAGGTTCTGGCCGTGATGGCATCCAGCTCCTATTGCAGTTGCAGCCGTTGTTACATTCTGTGGGTTCTTGGCCCTGCTCCCACGGGGCAGCTCAGCTGCGGTCCCCGCTCCGAGCCGGCCCCTCAGCAGCCGGCACAGCACGCGCTGATCCCTACCACGCGCAGGTTTAAAAGTAAACTACGAGCCAATGTCCACCGCACAAAACACGTAGAAGGCACCTAAACAAACATCTCAGTGTGCATTTCCTCCCGGAAAGGAGAGAAAAGCAGCAGCAGGCAAGAAGTAAACGAGGCAGAGGCTATTCATACCACTGAATCCAGCAGCACAGCAATCCATACAGCATAGAAAGTAGAATAAAACTGAGCATTTTGGAGGAGCTCTTTATAAGCATTCTTTAAAAGATGGACATTAGCCAATGATACCTGTGTACTAGAAGATCTATCTATATATAAAAGCTATATTATTATATTATTCTTATATTAGTTAATTAGCTGATACCTAATTAACTGATTTGATTTCTGAGAAAGAACATCTGTGGCAGGGGTTCAGTATAGACATCTTCTTTCTCCAGTTTGGACAGGAGCGAGAGGGAGCCTTTCAAAGAGCACTTTGGAGCCCAAACCAATCTAATCCCCATGTTCAAAACTTCTGTAAGGTTTTTGCTGTGCAACTCCTGTTGACTAAGGCGTTGCAGCCAACTTCAAGGCAGATTTGCAGCCAAGCTATCTCCTCTAAAAGGAGGCTTATAAAAGACATACATTCAGGACAGCAGCTCAAACGGCTGTGAATAATCTTTTGATTAACTCAGCAAAAACATCTCCCCTTCTCCTTATATATATTCGAGTCACCATATGCGAGGCTACACATGATCTGAGGCAGTTTCTGATGCCTCCAGGGTGTTTCACTTGTAGGAAGAATGCAATAAATCGATAGCATATGGACCTGCAGCCCCTCTCTACCTCCCACCCTTTGGCAAGTGGGTCCTCCCATGGTCCATGGCACTTGTAGGAAACGAGTGCTGCTGTGTTGGGGCAGCTGGCACATATGAACTTCATGCTAAGGAATACATGAAATAAAACAGCGACATAAGCGACGAGACATTTATGGCTAAAGCTGGGTGTATCTTATGCCTCTTGTTGGCACTGTGTAATGAAATTGCCACATACAGCCACGGATCCGACCCCCGCTCTCCCCTCGTGGGTGCACAGGGTGTTACCATCACACACCATGTGCTGTGGGTCTAAAGCTCGCAACACCCCTCCCTCAAGGGAAGCAAGGAACAGAAGCCTCACTTACCTCCTCCATACATCTGACATAAATACGGGAACCTCCACACATTTCCCAGCCCCACGGCGTACGAAATGCAGGCGAAAACGAACTGTAGGGGGTTGTCCCACAGGGGCCGGGGTTTCTCCATGTCGGCGCGGGCCTCGTCGGCGCCGTCCTGCCTCCCAGCCACACGGCTCTGCGCGCCCGGCGCCAGCGCCACGGCCACCCCGCGCCCGGGGGAGGAGAGGAGAGGAGAGGCGGAGGGACGCTTGCCAATTCCGATGAAGCCTTTTAATTACTAATCTTATTAACAGGCACATACTGAAGTAGGAATGCTGGTAAATAGATTATAGGAACGCACACACAGAACTATAAAATTGGCACTTCGGGTGAATAGCTGCTTGGGTTTTGACTGGCATTTCTGGGAAGGATGTGAGCCTAGGGATTCTTCTCTGCTCACATGCTCACTTGAGGAAGGAGATAACACTGGGGTGACAGGTTTTGGAAACTAGAGAATCTTTCTACACAGAGCACTCTTCTCTAGGAGCTGCATTTCTGTGAATGAGGCATCGGCTTGGGCTTGGTAACAGAAAGAAGAGGTTTCTACACTATTAGTATTAACCTGGGTTTAGCAGTTGTCAGAGCTGACTTGTAGTTTGAATATCTCTTGCCCTAGCATGGTCCTCAGGCATCCTGATACATCCATTTCTGGCATGGCAAACTGCAGCCTTGCTCACCCCAACAGCCCACCCTCTTCCCCAAAATAGCCTTATAACAAACAGTCCCTATCACCCATCTCCATCCCCAGCCTGCTTCAGCCTGGAGTCCAGCACCTGAGTTTGAGCCTTCAGGAATACCAGGCATGTGGTCGAGACCGAAGTCTTAGCCCTCCGGGCAGTGGTCATGCGTGTGAGATACATGTAGAGCTCACGGAGAGCTGCAAACAACCCTGCCTTACTCCACTTGCCTTCACACTCAACCCCAGTGCTGCAGAGGGACTTTCCGAAGAGTTGCTCTTTTAAAACATGTGTAAGTTTCAGGGATGGAATACACGAAAGTCACCAGGAAGCTGTGTCTGCAGCCTGGTGTGGAGGCAGAAGGACCTAGAAGGCCTTTGGGCTGTTTGAATGTGCACTGAGATGTCAAACCTGGATGTGAACCTGGTGTGCTTGGGCCCTTGCCAAGGTACATTTTGACACCAACCACTTCAGACGGGTTTCTCAGGAAAGGAGACAACAAAAGGGGCTTAATGAGTCCTAGGACTCAGCTTCCTTCCCGAGTCTAACCATGGGCCCTTTCAGGGCAGGACTGGGCACCTTTCAGGTCCTTTTTGTGAAAGAGACTCGCTCAGCTCAGGTCAGAGCAGTCAGACCTGCATATTGAGAAGCTACAGTTAACTGTCCCACATCGTGAAAACTTTTGCAAAGTTTTATTATTAAGTTAAATATACATCACTGCCTGTGGGATTCATTAAAAAAGTTACTTAAAATGGCTTATAGCATTTAATAAGCCATTGACAGGAGAGCTTTAAAAATACATAGCCCAGAGCTAACACTTGGGATGATGGTCATGCTTCTGTGTGAATAGATTACTACTACTGATGAGCATAATCAAGTTAAACATTGCCCTGGGTCTATACCTCCTTCCTATTACATTTCAAACTAGTTTACTAATGGACTGGGGAGGCTGCAGGCGGGGAGGAGTGGTGAGCTTGGAGCAGGTCAGTCACATCAGGAAGTTCAGGTGCAATGGAGTGAATCACTATCTGTCATCACGCTCATAAACGGCAGCCTTATGAACAGCCTGGCTCATAAATTGCTGTCATATTTTCAAAGGCTATCATGCAGCCAGGCACCTGGCCCAGTGCCTATCAGCCAGTGTCATCCACCCTAAGAGATGGGCTCTAAAATGCACCTAAGGGTATTTAAACATCGAACACCCAGTAATCGCTGCTTATAAGAATTTCCACACACCCCCCCTCAGATATGCTGAGGATTTATCTCTGTCTCCTTTAAGAGTTTCACTTTGTCTGGGTTGGGTGAAGAACTAGGCTTCATGTGGAAGGACCAAGACAAGCTGTAAAGAAATCGACTGAGAGAAATGAATATGAGAAATGTCCAAATTCCAGCTGTCCTTACAAGGTCTATCAACTGACAGAAGATCACAGACACAAGGACTCTTGATAATTACACTGGTCATTTTAAATGGGGATTAAAAATAAATTTTCCCTCTACCTACCTGGGCCCTACCTACCAGCATGGGGCTGGGAGAGCGGGGGAAAGGCTGGGGATTCATCTCTTCCATGGCAGGCGAGGCAAGGACAGAACAGAACAAGAGCTGCTCTGTGTAAACCTAACACGAAGTAGGTACCCAAAAAAGGAAATCCCATTTCTCGCTGAAGCAGGACTGGAAGTGCCTAGGTGAAGGTACCTACTGCAAATCCTGAGCTTGTCTGTTGACACCTCCCATCTCCCAGCTACTGCTTTAGGCTCCATATTTCCTTACTTTCAGAGACAGAGAGAACCAGCTGGATTTCCAGACCCTAAAGAACCCTGGGCCATGACACTAGTAGGGTGATTGCTTCAACGTGTAGTTGGAGATTACAGTTTCTCCTTTGATCAGTTATTGGCAGTTATACAGGAATGCTGTTATTCCGTCTAGCTCATCGCTGCTGCTTGCTGCTTGGTACCAGACTGTAGATGATGCCCCTGAGATCTGGGCTCTGAACTCTCATATTGAGCCCCTTAGCAACCCTCAAACTGTTCCGCACTACCGCTGTCTCCAGTGATCAGTTAGTAATGTAAGCCATCCTTATGGAGGCCTTATCCCTAAGAAAACATGCCTGGAAAAATCCTCTTTTTCACTCTCCTTGACTTTCTTAAGCCAGCTTTCTTGCCATTTTTGGGTTGAGGTCGTTTTTAGGCTACTCCTTCCATAGAGGTGCACGCGATAGAGCTCGGAGAATCCCCTCTAACTCACCGCAACGCAGAACTGGATGCGAATAGTTTGGGGAGTTCTTGGGCTGCTCTGCTGCTCACCAGAGCCCTTTCACAGCTCTGGGTAGCAGTGGGTCGGAATGGGCTAAAGAGAGGAACTAAAACCTTGCCAGAGCCGCCTGTCATTGCCATGGGCTCCTGGCATTTTGCTGCAGCAGCAGCCTCAAGGCTCCTCTACCTCTTTCCCCTCTACTTCACAGGGGTGTCCAGCTGCTTAAAGCCTGCACCAACCTGCTTAACACCAACCACCATCTACTCATAATGTTGAGATACTACTAACTGGTTCCCCTTCCTCAAGTTGCTAAGTCTTTTGGCCCTTCCCACTTCCCCACAACTAGATCTTTTATGGTACCTTGGAGTCTTGGCTGTGAATTTTCTGACCACTGGCCAAAGTGTTGAGTAACTCGGCTCTCACCTGCTATGTTATGATTTAAAAGATTAAGCACATATAAAGCTTTGTCCAATCTTTCTTGGGGGCCATCTCCCTGAGCTTCCCCTTTCCGTTTAATTAACAGATTTTTTAGGGTCTGGTGCGTGCGTTCAATAACTGCCTGCCCATGAGGAGAATGAGGAATACCGAAGACATGTTGACATTGTTTAAGGAAGTCCTGGGTTCACACAGCAACATACGCAGGCCCATTGTTTTTCTTGAAACACCTGTGACCACAAAACATCTCAACCAGTGCTTACACACATCCTGACTTTTCTCCCCAGTATGTGCAGTTGCCATTAGATACCCTGAATGTGTTATCTACCCTGACATGGACACATTTCAATCGTCCAAACTCCCCTATATGAGTTATGTCTGACTGCCATAGTTCACAGGTCATAAGACCACAGGGGTTGACCCCTTGCTGTGGTGGCACTGTGCTTATTCACTGACAGTTAGGACGTGCCTGAATGATCTGTTATGCTTGAGCCTTTGACAACTGAAATTGTTTCATCAAAGCTTGGGCATTCTGGTGAAAAAAATTGTGTGACAGTCTGGCTTGTTGAAATAAGTCAGGCACAACCTCTGCTACCAATTTACGTTGGTCTACTATTCTATTTTCCTCAGCAAATGGTCCTGGCAAAGTAGTATATGACCATATATGAGTAATAAAGTAGGGATTGGCTTGGCGATTTAACAAAGTCCATAAATTTCGCAAAGGATTGGCAACCTCTCAAAGCATAGCTCCCTCCAAGCGCTTCACCAGGCCCTTGACATATAAGGAATCCGTTACGACACTAAGATTTGAGTTGCAAATTTTTGAAAAGCCGTGGTTGCAGCTATCAACTCCATCACCTGTGTGGAGCCTGGTACTTTGGCTTGAACATCAGCTTGCCACTCTGCATCCTCTGACGTTTTCCAGGCCATGGCAGCCTTTTTATTTCGCCCTGATCCATCTGTGAAGACAGTAATACCTGAAATGAGAGTTCACTGCCAAAGAGACCTTGCTAATAAGGGAATGTTAGAAAGTTCTGACCACAACCTATGTGGTGGATAGTGGCTGTTTATTTGTCCTGCAAAGTCTGCTAAAGCCACCCACCTGGGTAAATGTTCTGCTAGTAACCATTGCAAATTTTCCTTTGTTGCAGGAAGATAAATGAATCTTGGATAGCTGCTGTTTAATGTTCTTAAGCACATTGTTGCTTTCTGAATTAACTGTGCATATTGTTCTATCACGGTGATGACTGTTTTTTGACTGTCCATAGGGTAAAAAGATCCATTCCAGCACTTGAAGTGGATCTGTCAATGAGACATCTCACTGCATCAGGGCAGCAAACAGTTGGTAATTACTAGGTATAATAACTAAGCCAACTTCTAATTCCTCTTTGATTCTGTAGCTCAGTCTATTCTCTGTTGCATGCACTACCCTTTCTAAGGCCTGCTTACTGTTCATCATCAAGTGTCGTGGAGAATTCAGATCCGGATCCCCTTGAAGTTGTAGAAAAAGGGGTCGTAACTCTTCATTGGTGAGACCAACCACTGATTGAATCCAGTTTATGGCCCCTAACAATCTTTGCAAGTCATTAAGGGTTTTTGTTGACTCCATTCCAATTTTGACTCGCTGAGACCAAATTTCGCTATCGGTTATTCATCATCCCAAATAATTCCATGGTTCTGCTCGTTGGACTTTCTCTTTTACAGCTTGCAATCCTGCCATAGTTA